TGCGTGAAGGGATTCAGGCTGACACAGACCCCACAACAGGCCTCCAAAAACCTCACGAGGTGACAGAGATTGTACAGCCCAGCCTCCATTTTCCGTGGAGCCTGTTGTCACTGCAGGCTCCTGCTCTGAGATGAACTCGAGTCAGGCTCAGCTCGCCCTGTCCTCGTGCTGCTCGGGCCGTTCCGCGCCGGGATCCGCGCGTTCCGCGCTGCCTGCCCTGGACACGCCGCTTCCTGCAGCAGCACGCTTGCTGTAGGTGCAGTGAAAAGCTGGTTTGGGCCAGCACAAAACACGTTGTGATTTCATTTGAATTTTGTCACTGCGGGGGAGTGTTGCTAAAATTGTCACTTGGCTTCCCATGTTAGCAGTACCTAGAGGGCACGCCGAGGCGACCGGAGGTTCATGTCTTAGCTGCAAATTCCAGTTTATCTGTAAGCTGAATGCTCGGGTGGGTATATGTTGATTTTCAAAAAGATACGTACTTGACATCTTTATTTTTTTGACAGCACAAGAATCTTATTATATCCCTACCTCTTACCCATATTTTTCTGTTCTATTTATATCCCACATAGGATGTGTGGTCTCCTAATTCAACATAGGGTTTTGTAGACTCAGGGGATTGGTCTGGGAATCAGCAGAGCCTTGTTAGCATGCCTGGGATTGGAAGACACCATTCAGAAATGGTTTCCAAATTGACATTGACATTGTGGCTTTTTCCAAACCATTCTCTGCTGTTGCCACGTGACCCCTGCAAGATGACAGAGGATTTATTTGAAAGAGCACTGTGTCCTCTCCAAAAAAAGTCCCAGTCTTTTCCTTCCCAAGTATTCTGTAAGATTAGCAATAAAATTCAGTGCACTTTTCTTATTCCTTTTCATCTTTATTGCTGAAAATTGGAGTAAAATTTGTGGTGATTAAACCCACTTCCTCCATGGAGGATAGAAGGATGATAGCTGTGAGTTGTCTTGTCCCAGGGGTATCCCCACATCCTTTCCCTTGTGTCACTCAGGAGAATGGACACTGGAATTGCTGCTCAGGGAATGCAGGTGGCATCAGCACAAGGGTGACCAGGATTTGGGATGTGTTTGCACCATTCCAGTGCTCTCTGCTTTCTTGAGCAGTAAAGCCTTACTCGTTTTCCAGGTTTTAAAAAAAAAAAAAGGAGCCCCTTTGCTTCCTCAAAAGTACTTGTAAATCATGTAATGTCTTACTTTTCAATGTAAATGAGAGCTGAATGAATAATGCTAATTATTCATTCATCCTAATTCAAATACTATTTTAATTAGCCTGTGGGCCCAATTTCACTTTCATGCAGCATGAAACCTCTTTTGATTAACAACAGAATTGCCATGCATTTCTTCTTTTTTTTTCCTGCTCAGCACATGTCTTTTCAAACTGCTTGAAAACAAAACAAAACAAAACAAATAAATCATTAATAAATGAATCAAATTTCATTAGCATGACCTGAGAAGACATAATTTAGGGAGGAAAAAATTCTTCTGTAGATACATTCATTCTGCTTAACAACTGCCTCGAGGCTATGAAGCCTGCAGAGAAGCCTTGTCTGAGGAGGTGCTGGTGAAATATGGAAATTTAGGGACCCTCCACCACTCCCTGCCATCAAAGGGCAGGGACACTTTCCACTAGAATCCATCCAGTCTGGCCTTGGACACTTCCAGAGAGGGATGGGGCAGCTACACCTGCTCTGGGCACCCTGTACCAGGATATCCCCACTGTCACTTTAAATATCTCTAATGTCCCTCTAACCCTGCCCACTCATAGTTTAAAAGCATTGTCCCTTGTCTTGTCACTGTAAGCCTTGATAAAAGGTCCCCATTTTTCTTACAAGCTCCATTTATACTGAAAGATCACAAGATGTTCTCCCCAGGGGCCTTTCCTTCTCCATGCTGAACACCCCCTATGGTCCCAGCCTGTCTCCATAGCAGAGGTGGTCCCTTGGAGCATCTCTGGGGACTCCCTCCAACAGGTCCATGTCTGTTCCATGCTGGGGGCTCCAGAGAATTCCCCCTTTGCCTGCTGCCCACATTGCTTTGGATGCAGCCCAGGGGACAGTTGGATTTCTGGTCTCTTGCTGGTTCACATCCTGTTCTTCATCCTCAGTGTCCCCCAGTGTCCCCAAGTCCTTCCCTGCAGGATTGCTCTCCATCCACCCACCCCCAGTCTGTGCTGCTGTTGGGGATTGCCCCAGCCCAGGTCCAGGACCCTCCAGTTGGCCTTGCTGAAGTTCATGAGGTTCCCAGGGGCCTTCTCCTCCAGGCTGTCAGGATCCCTGGGGATGGCATCCCTTCCCTGCAGGGTATCTGTGCCCCTCAGCTTGGTGCCATCCTTGGACATGCTGAGGCTTTGCCCAGCCCCACTTCTGTCACTGATGGAATGACATGAATTGAGTCCTGGTACCACAGAAACAGAAGAACTTGGACTGGCTGGGGTCCACATGGATCATCCAGTCCAGCTCTGTGATCCTCACAGGCTGCCTAATGCCCAACCACACCAGCACTCCCTGCACCCCCATGCTCAGGTGCTCTGGGCTGTAGCTGCTGCTTTGTACTGGGCTGTTCCAAGGGGCTCCAGTTTGTGCTGGGCTGTTCCAAGGAGCTCCAGTTTGTACTGGGCTGTTCCAAGGGGCTCCAGTTTGTACTGGGCTGTGCCAGGACACAGCCAGGAGATGGTTCTGAAGGTGTTTGGGATTTGACAGCCTGAAATGAAGCTGCCTTACACCACTTGGTGATGGCTGTCCTGCCCTCCAAGTGCCCTCCATCTCAGGGCAATGGGAACGCTGCTGGAGCATTGCAGCTTCCTCCTGCCCCACTGCTGTCCCTGCCACACCTCAGCTGTCCTATCCATTTTACAGCAACTGCTGCTCCATGGGGCAGTTCTTCCCACCCTGAGTGGTGGGAGGTCATCACTGTTTGAGGAGAAAGCTGAAAGGAGGTGAAATTTTAAATGTTAAATGTTTAAATTCATATGCAGCCCCTCGTGGGTTGGGTAGAGGAGGGGGCACACCTGAGGGGCCATTCCCTGGCTGTATGTGAACAACAGCCATGTTAACTCCAGAAATTCTTCACCTGAAGCTGATTTCTTTTTTCCCATGTACCTGCTCCAAATTCTTCTTCATTCTCTCTGGATGTCAGTGCCTGCAAAGCTTTAATTCAGGAGCCAGCCTGCTGTCAGAGATAAGCCTCTTGATATTTCATCATGGATCCTGCCCGCTCCAAGGAGCCTCCTCCGCTGGAAGTGCTGAAATGAACTTATGACAAATACAAGAAATGAAAGTCTCTCTCAAATGCACTTTCTGGCATGACTTAAATTAGCTGAAATTGCTGACATTCTGCCTTTCTCAGATGCGTGTCAGTGTCCATAGACTTTTCTTTCAAACATTGGAAAATTATTGAGTTAAATGTTGCCAGAAACAACAGATGCAGGAGCGCGGGTGTATGTTGGGTGAAGGTTACTGTGATGTGTCTGGGTGCTGCAGCACATGGTGGAGAGGCACAACGTGCCCCTCTAACCTTGGCTGATCCCTCAGAACAGAAGGACACCACTGGAATTCCTCTTGGAAGTTCTTGGGTTTGTACTGCATTTAATTTGGATGGGCTGAACCTCTCCAAGATGGTAATGACTGGTCATTTTGCTTGAACCAAAGTATTTCCTTAAAGCCCAGGAACTTCTCTGCCTGCTCATGGGTTCTCCCATGTTTGTCCCAGCAGCTCTACTCAGGACTAGGACTAAATGGACAAAGTGACACTTTCTTGGCAAAGAGAATCAGCTCTTGGGCAGCTTCAGAGCTCCCAGGACTCACTAATTGGCAGGTCCTGGTTGTTCAGCACAGGTTGGGTAAATCCTCCTGCATCCCAGGGCTGTGGGAAGCCCAGCACAAGTCTGTACATAGATCTGGCACTCTGTGCATTGGAACAACTGGTGGAATTCAGGGAATCACAGGATTGATTTCTGTGTGTTGTTGCTGCCTGTCTGCAGGTAGAAGATGCACAGTGAAAAGCTGGCATGTACCTTGAAGAAATTTCTTAGATGGAAGGTAGCAGCTTGTCTAAAAGTAAAGATTCTCATACTGAAATCTGCACTCATTTCAAACTTCCTGCCCTTAACTGCTGAGGAATGTGACAATATATGAAAATTTAAAGGCTGCTTCCTGCTGTTACTCCAAATTTACATTGGCAACAGTGTTTAATTAATTTCAAATTTACTTAGTAGTTTACTTTGAGTGAAAAGCGTGGTCCTGACATTTTCAGGGAATAAGAATTAACCTCTTAAACTCCTTTGGGTTTTGTCTCTGTTTTAGTTGATGAATCACGAGGTGTCAGTGGGGACATGCCTGTCCTGTTGGTGTCCAGGGTGATGAGATGGGCAGAGCAGTGTGGTGGGAGGGGGGTATTGGGGCTCCTCTCCTCTGTTAACCTCCTGTTCAAGATGTGGGGTTCACCTCCCTTTGCTGCCCATTGGACCCCCAGACTCACTGGCCCTCATCTGGACTCTGAATCTGAGTGGGAAGTGCTGAGTGTGGGATGTCTGAAGCACTGTCTCATCTCACTAACACAGAACTTGGGTGGCAGAGCTGGACTTGGGTGCCTTTCTGAAATGGGGGTGCTGAGCCCCTGCTGCAGGAAGGGGCTGCACTGGGACTGGAACTTCTCTTTGCCTGTTAAAAATGTGTTATTTCAGCCAGTGCTCTATGGAACGGTGGCAGCAGGGTTGTGTTGAAGAGGAGCTTGGATGGAAGCCTTGGGAGGATTGCATGCACCCCTAATAGCTGTTATCTATGGAACACATCTGGTTTAAACATGTCCTTCTTCAGGGCTGAGTGCAGGTGGCCTGTCCACCTGAGGGAGGGCTGGGGAATTTTGTTCTAATTGGTAATTTTGATGACATATCATGATCCTGACTCCTTGCTTCTGGGATTCACTTTCATTTTCCTCCTGTTTCCCAACTAAACAAATTGATCTCTCTAAATCACTCACTTTTAGGCATCTTCCCCATCCCTCAGCTGGTTTTGAGCCTCCTGTGTCCACTCTCTGATGTTGGAACAAGTGCTGAAGGATGCGGCCGCAGGCGCCCGGGGCTGTCTCGCTAACAAGGAGGTAAGATCACCCCCCAGCTCCTGATTGCAGGTGACACAGCCAGAGGTCACATCCATCACCTACACCATATCAGCAGCTCTCCTTGAGCCCCTGATCCTTCATCATCCTGATCATCCCTGATCAATTCCCTTCCCTGTTAACTGACACCCACAGCAGCTTCTCCTCCTGTTACAAAACCCTGCTCTGCTGGCCCTGAGCTGCCCTGAGTGTGGTTCAGGCAGTGGGGCTGTCCCAAAGGCCTCAGCCTCCCCAGCAATCTGTGTTTCCTGTACCACTGGTGACTCTCATCTCCAGTTCTCAGCCTTCAAACTCGTGTCCCATGGGCCCATTTTATCAGCAGCCACTCCCCAGTTGAGCTTGGGAAGATCCCGCAGTTTCAGAACTGCTGTAATTATGGAACTGATCTTGGACCTAATGTGGGAATCATTTGTCAAGACTTTTGTTACTTCTGATCACTTTATATGGCCTTTTTTAATACTCTCCTGTGCTATTTTTTTCCTCCCACTGTTATGAAGTGATAAATCAAATGTCCTGCACAGCCCATCCACACCATATCCCTGCTCCTGGCTTTTCAGTGAAACACTGAATTCCACCAGAGGGAGATCACATTTATATCCTTTAATTCTGCATTGCTTGCATCTCCTCACATTTCATTATTTTGCCTATAAACAGCTCTGTAGTTTTGTGGAAGAAGTTGAATAGTTCCAAGTACTAGTTTTCTTCCAGTCTCCTGGAACTTTTTTGGGTTAAGAATAAATCACTTCTAAGATCCGAGTGCTGGAGGTTTGTCCAGTTCTGGGTTCAGGATCTGTCACCAAATGTTGTTCTGATGTAATAATTTCTTTTAATAATCTTTTCTGATGTAATAATTTCTTTTAATAATCTTTCACAAACTGATACTTGACATCATCAAAGATCTGAAAGATGCCTCATCCCCTGTTGCTCTAACAGTGTCCAGCAGTTCCTCCTGTGTTTTACTTTCACACCTTGGGCTCCAGGAGGGCCTGCAGTGTTCCTGGGGTTTGTTCAAAGTGTTGCCAGATGGGAACGGTTTGAGTTGGAAAGGACCTTGCAGCCCATCCAGTGCCACCCCCTGCCGTGGGCAGGAACCTTCCACTGTCCCAGGCTGCTCCAAGCCCTGTCCAACCTGGAGCACTTGAACACTTCCAGGGATCCAGGGGCGGCCACAGCTTCTCTGGGCAACCTGGAATCTGCAGCCATTGGAATTTGGCAGAGTTGCCAAATTGCTCAGGAGTGTGGCCAGGCCCGGCAGTTCCGGCGCTTGCTCAGCTCCTGCCAGCGCTGGCCCTCCTCCCCTCACCCACCCACCACTCACTTCTGTGCACCAGCTCTTCTAAAAGTTTTGACAGGTAACTATTTCTAACCAGCTTTTCACTACAAAACCCACACTGGAATCCTTTCTCAACCTGGGAGGAAGATTTTGAGACTCCCAGAGGGGTTGAACCCAAGTCTATCCCCAGGATGGTTTGAGCATAGCTAGAAATTCCTTGGCCCAGCCCTGTCCGTAGGCTGGCCCTGCAGGGTGACACTGCTCAGGCCACCAGGTTGTCCTACCTTTGCATCACAGGTGGGCTGGGCCATCCTTTCCTGAATTAGGACAGCTGGTACTGCCCTTGGACACAACCATGTCTCCCATGGGTTGAGAGCATGATCACCAGCCCAGGCCTTGACAAATTCAAATAAATCCCCTTGCCAGTGGCAGGATGTAGCCAACAGAACCCAAAAATCTCATGGGCACTTGTCTTCCCATCCACTGTGTTGTGGAGTCTCCAGCTTCCACTCTAAATCAACCTGTGACACACAGAGCAGCTGTGCCTCTCTCTTGGGCTGGGGAGTAGCTTTGGGAGCACATATTTTAATGAAAAGATACTGAACTGCTACTTTTTCTTACAGCAGATTCCTCAAAAGCCTGCGGAGGAGACGTAGAATCTTCAAGCAAACTCTGGCAGCTGGATCCCGATAGCAGGTGATGCTCACAAACATGGATGGGCTGAGTATAAAAGTCTGGAGTTTTCAGACTCTCTTGGTTGAGTTTGAACCATTTAGGCTCGAGCTGATAAACTCATAAATATTTGGGGGTTCTGTTTGTTTTTTAGATAAACTCATTTGACCACCATGAGTTGGAGTTTTCTGACCCGCCTGTTAGAGGAGATCCAGAACCACTCAACCTTTGTTGGCAAAATCTGGCTGACAGTGTTGATTGTGTTTCGGATTGTCCTAATTGCTGTGGGAGGAGAATCCATTTATTACGATGAACAGAGCAAGTTTGTGTGCAACACGGAGCAGCCTGGCTGCGAGAACGTCTGCTACGACTCCTTCGCCCCTCTCTCGCACGTCAGGTTCTGGGTGTTCCAGATCATTCTCGTGGCCACTCCCTCGGTGCTGTACTTAGGCTACGCCATCCATAAAATCGCCCGGATGGTGGAGCACAGCGAAGCCAGCAGGAGAGCCAGGAGGAGGAGCTTGCCCATCCGCTGGAAACAGCACCGGGGCTTGGAGGAAGCTGAGGGTGACCATGAGGAAGACCCGATGATGTACCCGGAGATAGAGGTGGAGAGCGTCCGGGAGAGTAAAGAGAAGCAGAGCCCCGCCAAAGCCAAGCACGACGGCCGGCGGCAGATCCGGGAGGACGGGCTCATGAGGATTTATGTCCTGCAGCTCCTGGCCAGGGCCCTGTTTGAGGTTGGCTTCCTGGTGGGGCAGTATTTCCTGTACGGCTTCCAGGTGAGCCCCGTGTTTGTGTGCAGCAGGAAGCCCTGCCCGCACAACGTCGATTGTTTCATTTCCAGGCCAACCGAAAAAACCATTTTCCTGCTCATAATGTACGGGGTGAGCTGCATGTGTCTGCTCCTCAATGTCTGGGAGATGCTGCACTTGGGGTTTGGCACCATCCGGGACACGCTGAATGCCAAGAAGAAGGAGCTGGTTGACTCTGGGACCTTTAACTACCCCTTCACCTGGAACACGCCGTCGGCTCCCCCGGGCTACAACATCGCGCTGAAGCCGGAGCAGATGCAGTGCACGGAGCTGTCCAACGCCAAGGTGGCCTACAAGCAGAACAAAGCCAACATAGCTCAGGAACAGCAGTATGGCAGCAACGAAGGGAACATTCCTGCCGACCTGGAGATCCTGCAGAGGGAAATCAAAGTGGCTCAGGACCGCCTGGACCTTGCTATCCAGGCTTACAACAACCAAAACAACCCCAGCAGTTCCAGAGGGAAGAAATCCAAAGCAGGCTCAAACAAAAGCAGTGCCAGTAGCAAGTCAGGAGATGGGAAGAACTCGGTCTGGATTTAACGTTGGCTCGGTTGATACGTTGTAGTTTTTTCTCCTAGTTTATCATAACCAGCAGTCCCATGAATAATGGCTTCCACTAAGGGAATATTTGACTCTGCTGATTTTCAGGGATACCGTTGGCTCGTGATTCAGCCCCTGGAAAGGGTTTATACACTGACTCTAGGACTTTAGAACTTTATTCTTTTGTCTTCCAAGTCAGGAGACAAATAGGTATATTTAATTCATTCTCATTGAACGGTTTATGCTGTATGTACAGTACTATAGTACATTTATTATGCACAATTTTTTTTGTATTTGTACACTGGATCTGATGTTACACTTTTTATATCAACAAGGACAAAGCAATGGGTAGCCATTAGCATTTTGTTAATTTTATTATTGTTGTCTGCAGTTACGTCATTGTTCTTCCTTGTTTTCCAAGTAAAACTTTTTATAAAACTTTTCTATGCTGCGTTTCCAAAGTGCCTTGAACATGCAGAAGTGGAGTCTGGACAGCTCATGGGTACAAACTGTGAGTGGGGAAAGATTTGGGAAACCTCTGCCAATGGTGCTCCTGACTCTGTCCTTTACTAAATTAATGTGCTGCTTGCAGCCTGGAAGTGTCATCCCTTAATCTCCTGTGTCCTACAGGCTCTTTCCTCTATGGAAAATACAGGAAAAACGTGTGTGTGTGATGGGTGTGTGTGTGTTGGGAGCAGGGCTGCCAGTTGTGGGGCAGAGAGGGCTCAGGGCTCCCCTCACCTTGTGCAACAGGAGGGAGGAGACACTTCAAACTCCTGCAGAATATCCAGAAAATTAAACACAAGTGACTGGATTCAGTGACTCGGTGTGCTTCTGTGAGAGCGATGGGAAGTGTGAGGGCTCTGTTGTGTAACACCCTGTGCCCAAGGGGCAGGCAGTGCTACCTTTTGGGGAGGATTCCTGTGCTTTCCAAACGAATGGGGTCAGATGGAGTCCCAGTAACTCTGTCTGACTGTGGAATCCCCTCCCTCTCCTGCTGCCAGCACACACGAGCTGTCTGCGGGAGGCTGAGCCCTCTCGGAATCTCAATGATTCTGCTTTATTCCAGAGCCCTCTTCCTTCCGTTCTGTGCGAGGAATTCAGCTCAGACACAGCAATATGTATGATTTAGCTTTCTGCTTGAGAGACCAGTCCGATCTGGCATTCTGTGGGTTTGGCATTAAACTTGAATTTACAATTAGCAGAAGGGGAGTGAGGGACTGATGCCTTTGGCTCTGTCTTTCTGGCAAGGAGCCGGCTCGGCTTGGAGAGACGCTGATAAATGTCTCTGCTTTCTGCTGCTATTTATAAGGGATTCGGGACCTTGCTCTGCTCCCTTTTTTTTTTTTTTTTTTTTTTTTTTTGAGGTTTCCATGCATTTTAATATATTTTTGGGGCCTGATTCAAGCAGGACTGTTCTCTTTCAAGGCTACCTCAGTCTCTTGTCAGAGCTGGGTCAGGAGCAGGATTTAGGGAATCATTGAATCCCAGAATGATTTGGGTGGGAAGGGGCTTTAAAGAGCATCTCATTCCATGGGCAAGGACTCCTTCCACTACCCCAGGGTGCTCCCAGGCCCTGTCCAGCCTGGCCTTGGACACCTCCAGGGATCCAGGGGCAGCCACAGCTTCTCTGGGCAGCCTGGGAGGAGTGTGGGATGAGGAGTGAGGCTCCGTGGAGGACACAGATAAATCCCTGCCCTATTCCTGTCCCTCAGAACATCCAGGTACAGTCTCCCCATTAAATTTGCTCCGAGGGGACATGAGCATGTCCTTGCTGTTCCCTTCTGCCCAAGCACTTCTGTAAATGAGTGTTGTGCTGAGTTGTTTTGGTCTGTTTTCCTTCTGGGGCACCAGGCAGGCCAGGCATGGGTCCAGATTATCCCTGAGCAACCTGGAGAGGCCCTGCTGTGTCCAGAGCCAGCACAGCCCCGTGTGAGCCCCTCTGGAGCTGTGGGGACTCTGGGAAGGGAATTGCCCCCCTGGCCTTTGGCACTGACCCCTGGCTGCTCCGGGGAGCAGCTGGAGGAGCGCCAGGGTGGTGCCTCAGGAAGTGTGAGTGACCCAGGACGTGTTGTGCAAGTGGATGGGGCAGGGATGGGCTGGGGCTGGCTCTGTGCTCCAGGGGCATTCAGCAGGAACTCCTCTCATTAACCAGTGACCTGAAGAAAGTCACAGGGATGGGCAGGGACACTGCCAGAGCGAGCTGAGTGTGGTTGGGAAGCTGGGTGGAAAACATCTGAAAGTGAGGGAGAGACATTAGGAGCCTGGAGATAAACAGGGCTGGTGGCACAGTCCACTCATCACCCCCAGCACTTGGGGTGCTCTGTTCAGTGTCCCAAATGGGTGACATTTAACCCTGTGTGGTGCTTTGGGAACAGCCTTTCCCCAGTGAAAGCAGGGGAAATCCTCCTCACTGCTCTCTTCCCAATTCCTATTAAGGACTTAAACTGGGCTCCCACTTGTTGCTCCCTGGTTTTGTGTTATTTCCCAATTAATGACCTGTGTGAAGCTGCTGCCTCAGGGCAGTCCTGTGGGCTTCTGCCCACCCAGTAAATCCCTGTCAATGAGCAGAGTGTCCACAATATTCCGCTCCCAGCACTGGATTCGTTCTGAAAATCCCAAGTCATGGAGCTGTTTCTGATACTGCTCTTTATTTTCACTTTCATTGTGTACAAAGTGCACATTTGGGTTGAAGCTGAGCGCGTGTTGCTGCCTGTGGGGTCTGTCCCAGCTCTGTTCTGGCTGTGGCTGTTGCTGGTTTTAGAATATCAGACTTTATTTTTCCTTTTGAAGAAACAATACCTGCATTGCTTTAAAATGCTCTTCCTTTGGCTTAATGTAGACCATTTTGAAATAAATGTCCAGGAGAAACTTTGGGACAAAAAAATGCTGGATGGAATTTGGATTTGTGGTGACATTCTCTGGGTTTGGAAAAAAAAAAATGCATTAAATCCAGTGGATTACTCCAGTCTGAGTGAGATGGCTTCTTTTTTCCAGCAATAGAATATGGGGGGGAGGGAGAGGGATGTTTAATTATTTATCTTAGAGCCACAATTTGGAATTTTTATACACTTTTATACACTTGTTTAGGTCAACAAAGAGTCAGCCCAGAATTACCTGTGCCTGCCGTGGGAATCGCTCTGCAGGGACGAGAACAATCACAACAGAAAAGGGAAGTTGGGAAGTCAGACCTTGGAAAGGGTGGAAAAGAGGGAAATCTGCATTTCTGCATAGGGATGAGCAGGCGGGCAGTGCCCAGTGAGCTGTGCAGGATTTGCTGCCCCACTTGAGGCACAGGGACAGCCGGGTGTCCTGGCTGGCACCGCGGGGCTCCGGGGAGCGCCCCGCTGTCCCCTCGCTGCCAGCCTGACCTCGGGCTGCGGAAGGAGGCTTGGAGTGTTTGTCCTGGGTGCAGCTGGCAGGGAGCTGGCAGGGAGCTGGGTTCTGTTCCGGGGCCTTGGAACAAGGGCTGTTTGTCCGGAGTGGCGCTGCCCTGCTGCCAGGCTGCTGGGGCAGGAGGGGTGGAGGTCACCCAGGCCAGCTCCAGCACCAACAGCTTCTCCTTTCTCCACTGCCAGGGCACCCGAGCAGTCCAGACTCCACAGCCTGGGACAGGAGCACGGGACAGGGAATGCCTTTGCCAGCTCCATGCCCGGCAAGGGCAACAGCAGCCTGAGCCACACCACAGGTGCCAGTGCAGGGATCACCAGGACCTGGGCTCCTGCTGCTCCCAGACCCTGAACCCCCTGCAATCTTTGCACTCATGATTATCCCTGTGTGAGTCCCTGCAGGCAGCCACAGGCCCCCAGCTCAGTCTGTGGTTTTGGGTACAGCAGCCTCTGTTGAACAGCGAATTCACACTGAGAGGGTCTGAAATTAATTTAACCACAGCTGAAAAAGTGGATGCAGCCCCAGTTCTCTGCCCTGGTGACACATTTGTGGGGCAATGGTCTGGTAGAAGCCCATCCTGTGATGGTTGTGGTTGATCCTGTGCTCAGGAGGAGAACCAGAGGTCAGAGCTGGGGTCACACACAGGCACTGCAGGCTCGGCTCAGCCGCCCGGGCAGATGTGCAGAGCTGCTGGAGGTGCCCCTGGGTGTTTGTGGCCTCCAGCTGCCGCTCCAGGAGGGAGCAGAGAGGGAGCAAAGCAGCTCCCAGGGGTCCCTGTCACATCTGCCAGCCCTGGGCAGATGCCTCGGGTGCCTGAGGAGCTCTCCCAGCACCACACGTCTAGACGTGATCCCAGCGGAGGCTCTGTGGTGCCTGCTGACAGCTTCACCTCCTTTTCCTCTGCTGGGAAGTGAGGGTAAGGGTACTGCCAGTATGAGATCCTCTCTGCAGAGTGATTTTCCCTTTGGAAGCATAGGTTGGGTGTTAAATATTGTTAACATTAAATGTTCCTACCTGAAATTCAGCTACGGTTTTGTAGCAGCTTTTATGGAAGTGTTATATTCCTGTAGCTTGATTTGTTAATAATTCAACAATTCCTGGTCCCAGGCACACAATTTGCTGCTGTGAGGTTCCATCCAAAGGAGCTGTTCAATGAGACGTGCTCGGTGCCCGATCCCTGTGAATGGGACGTGCTCAGCTCAGTTCCTGGGGAACAGTTCCTGAAGGACAGATCTGTTTGCATGAGTGAAATGATGTTCTTTAATCCATAACTCGCTGTATTCCACCCTCCAAAGCAGCAGGGGAAGGAGCTTGGGGGCTTCTGCTCTCAGGGAAATTGTAATTTGTTTTCTCTGTGTCAGAGGAGGCTCCAAATACCAGTTCATCATTGCTTGGGAAATGACATTTTGTTTTCTGCAGCGTGACATTATCGCTGTTGTCTAAATTCCATGTTGATAGCTAGGGAAAATGTCTTGGAAGGAGGATTTAAAGGCATCTGATCAGTGCTTTTCAGGACTCTGGAGCCATTTCTGTGCAGGCCAGGTTTTGCTGTCCTCTTCCCTTTTATTTTTATTGACCAGGATGTTGCAGTGACTCTGGCAGAGGACGTGGATCCCAGGAGAGGAACCGCAGGGATGGTGACACCGAGCCCTTGTCCCGTGCCTGAGCTGTGCCTGGGGCTGCCCCAGGGCCTGGATTCTCTCTGAGGGGTGAAGAGTGGCTGAGCAGGAGCAGAACAGGAGCTGGGAGCTCCCTGTTCCCCCAGAGCCCCGGCAGAGGCGAGTGAGGCTCTGGGTGAAGCGATTGGGGTCAGGTTCACACCTGGGCATTGTCTGGAACAGGCTCAGCCAGGAGGTTCCTCTCGGGATTCCCTTGGCAGTCAGGATCCCAGGGATTCCTCCAGCCAACAAACAAGCACTGGGGTGGTTTAGCTGTGCTGGGGGTGTTGGGAAGCACCAGGGTGGCTCCTCAGCTCTAGTCTTGCCCTCATTTAAAGATGTACAATGATTGGAGTTACTTCTTTTTCCCCTGAGTGTCTTTAATATATTTATGAA